ATTTTAAAAAAAAAAAAAAAAAAAAAAAAAAAAAAGGAGAAAGTATACTTCCAGTGTTCAAAAATTATGATCCAGTTCAAATAAGTCAATCAGGTGATTGATGAATGAGTGAAATTCCAACATCTTTGTTGTTTCACTTTTTCTTACTCTTTAGCATAAATGGAAATACCACACTTGTTTATCCATTATGGTTCCATAGGTTGGTTATGGATAGAAGAGTTAGGCAAAATTCAAGAAAAGCAGAACACTCTAAGAAGCAAATGGCTAATGAAATTTAAAATAAAGAATATTGTAAAATTTTATTATTATTTGTAGATTTCTATAAGTAAAATTAAAATAAACACATATACACTTTTTTTCAGACAGCCAATTATTAAACATTCACAAGTACACAATGTTTTGTTTCCCCTCCACTAGAAAGTAATCTCCTTGAGAGTAAGAGTTTTCTTTTATTCCAGTGCTTAGAAAAAGCACTTGGCATGTAGCAGGTGCCCAGTCAATACATGAGGCATGAGTGGATAGATGAGCACTGTTTGGGAACCCCTGGTTTCATGGGTTGACCATCACACCTTAGGTTTCCAGCTCTACCATATCCAGCTGTGAGGCCTTGAGTAAATTACTTAATCTCTTTTAACCTTGGCTTCATCATTAAAAAAGAGAGGATAATCGTCTTACCTCACAGGGAGGTTGTGACAATATACACTGCTGCCTGTCACCTACTGTCTGTTTCTCCACAAATAGGAGTTTCCTTCTCACCCTCCACCCCTGCCACACACATACTCCTTGGAAACCCAGCCCTGCTGCTGTGACACATTTCAATGATGTCACAGCTACCCTCCCTGAGAGCTCCAGCAGTACCATCTGATCCCAAGCCTGATTGCTGGCTGAACTGAGAGGGGCAGGGCGCAGGTGGTACTTGGTACCAGTTTTGCTCCCGCTGTCTTTGAGCCCTCACAGCCCAGCATGAGTCCATCAGCAAAGAAGAGGCCCAAGAATAGTGCAGTTTCCAAGGTCAGACTTTGAACTGGACCCTGGGGATAAGCCCCTAGAATGGGCCTTACAAAGAGTCCAGCCACACCAAGGACAGGGGCCTTCCAGCCGGAGGTGGGGAGAGGGGGGAGGAAGGTGAGGAGTGAAGGGAGGCCAGGAGAGTAATCTCCCCAAACTAAGGCAACAAAACTCCCAGTTTAGGTTTGGTGAAACCATGCTCAGCTAAACGGAGGGGCAAGATGGAAGGCATTCAGGGGGATTCCTCCTGTGTTAGCTCTCTCTCTCTCTGTCCCTCAGATGCAAGATGAGGAACTGCAGGACAACATAAAGCAGCCTGTCAGAAAAGTAATTGAGTGGAACCGACTTAGAATGGTGAGATGGCCCATTTTGGCCCAGGAACCTGAGTACCCAGGCTGTGCTTCTGCTAATTGCCAGGCTGACTGACCCAGAAGGAGGCAGCAGCCCAGCCCTGAGCTGAGCTGAACCAGAGGCAGCCAGGGGAGTAGGAGGCTATCTCAGGAAGGCTGAAGTTTCTATTTTTCTGGTTTCTTCTCCTTGACAGGTGTTAAAAAACTTGTCGCTCTTGAAGCTACTCAAGAGCTCAAACCGCCGGATCCAAAAACTGTACTACCTGGCCAAAAGATATCGGAATTCATTGCTCAGTGTTCCAAATATCTTCTGCATCTCCTCTGGGTGAGCTCGGCCTGCCCGTGGCCCTCACAATGGACCCAACAGCTGTCTTTACTGGGAACAGGGATTGTGCTCAGGAATTTAGAGAACAGGTCTAATTTTCACAAAGGCTCTGTGAGAAAGGTATTAGTTATCCCTATTTTACTGATGGGGGGCTGAGGCTCAAGAGGTGAGGAAAATTGTCTCAGTTAACTGGACTGGTAAGTGGCAGAGCTAGGATTTGAAGCCATTCCTATCTGATATCAGAGCTGTGGTCAAAACAATGGTCATAATCATACAATTATGGGCCTAATCACAACCTGAGGCACTGAGTGAGACAGGTCACTCCTCCTTCTCCCCCTCTCAAGTCAACACAGCCCAGAGATTCACCTGCAGACTGGTCTCTGAAGTCTAAGGATTAGTTAAGCTTGCTGAGGTTCGTAAGTCACATCTGAATATTAAGAAATCTAACACTGATAAGATGCCTGCTAAATGTTGGCTACTGTGCTAAGCACTTTACGAGTACTTTCCCATTTAGTTTATTCTTCACAACAATCCTATAAGGTAGGTAGAATTATCCCAGTTTTACAGGTAAGGAAACTTACCTGAGAGGTTAAATTTCTTGGCCAAATGACGTAGATAGTAAGAGGCAGAAGCAAAATCTGAGCCCCCATTTGTCTGACTCCAAAGCCTGTGCTCTACAAGCCACTCTGCTGCTTCACTGCCTCCTCCTTTGCAGAACTCTTGTGAGGATGCTGGGCCTGACATAGAGTGGCCACTCAATCAGAGGTGGCCATTACCATCATCAGTATTGCCATGATTTTGAACCCGAGGGCTCATCTCTTTCCACACACACTCAGCTAGGATGGTGCTGCCACTGGGGGCTTTGCAGGTGGCTCAATCTATTTCAGACACCCTTTGGGAAAGTCTCCTTCCAACATGTAATACCTTTATTAACTCCACCTCTCTGGGCTCTTCTTTCTGATTTGGCCTTCTAGATGCAGGCAATCAGGAAATACAGAGCCAGAAGGATAAGGATCATCTAGTCCCACAGTTTTCCAACTTTTTTAAAGCAGTGGAACCTCTCTTCAAATATCTGTCCCCAAGCCTAATTGTGTTGGGGGGAAGGTGGGAGGCATTTGAGACATCTCCTCAGAGCCCTAGGTTTCTTGGAACACCATTGGAAAAAAACACTGGACTGTTCAACCTCTCAACTGAAGTCCAGAGAGACAGAACCCTAACCTAGTGGCAGATGCAGACAATATACATCCTAGGTGTCCTAACCACTAGCCATACATTTCACCTTCCCAACCTCTCACATCCCTCTGCCAATACTTATCACATCCCCTGCCATGAGGCACAAGGCCTCTGGGTAGTAGAGAAGTTTGTTTTCAGGTCCTCTCTACCTTTCTTAACAGGCTCTCCTGGGCTGGCTATATAGCAACTGTCTCAGGGCTAGGCTAGAGGACCAGGGCTTTAGTCCTGCTCTGCTAATTGCCTTTCCTCTCCCTGCCAGGGACAGCAATGTATGCAATAAAGTGAAACAATATAATGAAGAATTCCAGGAGGCTAGGTACCCCAAGAAGAAACTGGAATCCAAGAAATTAGAGTACATAGGGAAATACAGGGAGACAGAGCCCAGTGAATGGAAGCCCAAGGTGGAGTCAGGGATGCATTACAAGGCAAAGGGGTCACCTGCAGCAGTGCCATGGAAAGAAGAGGAGGCAGAGCCTGAGGTTCCAACGACATCAAGGGGTCATGGCCTGAACAATGGAGCCCAGAGGAGGGAACCATCCTCTGGGGACCCCCAAGTCATCTTCCTGAAGAACCATCAGCACAGAATTTCCAAGGGGAACATAAAGCAGCTGGATGTAGGTGCCCAGTGTATGTGGTTTGAGGGGCTGCCAACACGAATCCACCTCCCTGCACCCCGGGTGATGTGCAGAACCTCTGCCCTGCGCTGGGTCAAGCGTCGCTGCACCCGCTTCTGCTCTGCGTCCTTACAAGATGCCTAAGTACCATCCATAGGAGGTGGGTGGACAATGTCTCTGCCCAGCCAGCATGAGATGCAGGCCTGGAGCAAGAGGGCTCAGGGTCCAGAGTCTTGAGGGCTGTAGCTGGCAGTGCTGGGAGACTCCATCTTCATGCCCAAAAGAGGGAAGCCATCGACCAAGGCCACAGAACAGGGTAGTGGCTAGGCTGAGGCCTTTGAGGATGCAACTAGGGACTCTGGGGAAGAAGGGGAACTGGAAGTGTCAGTTCTGAGGTGGGTCATCTCACTACCTGGGAACCTCAGAAGGGGTGGCAACTGCTATGGCTCTGAATCTCACAGCCAGAGGTCTAAGTCAGTGGGTTTACCCAATATGGGAGGAGGGAAGTAATCAAGAAGGGCTTTGCTGCATCCCATTCCCTCTTAAACGAAACCAATTCTCCATTTAGTTTTGATTTATTCATGGCTTCAGATAAGATTTACTCTGAACAAAAATTTCCTTAGCAAAAGAAGAAGAAAATACTCCAGCCCCTCCATGGGAGATGTGAAGTCCCATGAAAGGAAGGTGATTGGCCCCAGAGGTCCAGCTTAAAGGGAGGCTTTCCCTACAGCAAAACCACCATGTCCAACCTGCCACAGACACACCACCGCACCCTTGTCCCTGAGCCCTCTCTCCAAACGACAGCGCCTCCTGGGGACTGTCTTTGCACTTAACACTGAGGTCTCTATTGTCACAGGTGGTGTGAGGAGAGCTTGAGATCACGCAATTAGCTGAACCCGAGGGATGGGCAGGGAAATCCTGGAGTCTACAAATAAAAACTCCCATATGGCACTGCAGAAAACTGCTGTTGGCTCTGCCTATTTGTCTGGGGCTGGGAAGGATGGAGGAAAGAGGCCCTCGGCAAAGGTGGAGAGGGAGAGTGTGTCACCACATCAGGTCCCCCACTCCCTTCCTGAGTCCTCTAAGGTCAGTCTAGAACCGGAACGAAGAGCTGCACCCCTCCCCCACCTCCGGGAGCTGGTCTCCTTAGTGACACACTCTTCTCTATGAAGTCAGAGAAGGGAAACATTTCTCGTGCGCTTTCTGGATGCGAGGCGCCTCAGAATGGCCCTGCTTGCTAAGGAGCCGAAAACTGACTTGTCCAGGCTCACTCAGGAAGTGGCAGGAGCAGGAATTCTAACCTAGGTCTCCTGGCTGCTCCCCATTCCATTTTTCCAAGAAAGGAAAAAGGCACAACAAGTGCCTGCCCAGATTGGCTGGCGGAAAAGCCCCAGCATCCAGACAGATACATTGTGCCCTGATTATCTGGTGTGTCTGCTGTCAATAAGTGAGTGTCAGCTGGGCCCCCAAATGCGCCCCACCTGGACCACAGATGACGGAAAATTTCGGGTCAAGCGGGAAGTGGGTACTGTGTCCCTAATGCTCCAGTGTGAAATGGCATGTTCACTCTCAACCCCAAGCCTTGGGGTCACCTCTGTCAGTAGGAGCCAAGGGCCCTGAGCACGCAGCTGGGAAGAGGAAAGCCGAGGAGCCCGGGCTTTCCTGGGAGGCAGGCTGCGCGGAGTGGGCCCTCGAGAGAGAGCAGCGGAGCCACCGAGGGGCGAGGAAGACAGGGATGTGAAGAAGAGCGATCTCCAGTTTGGGAGAGAGGGAGCCCCATGGGGGGGGCTCCTCCTTACCCCGCCGGCTCGCACCGCTCCTCCCCACGAGTGCTTGGCACCGTGACCTGGCTTCGGAGGAGCCTGCGCACGGAGCCACGCAGCCCTGCCTGAGCATAGCCCTGGAGCGGGGACCACTCTGCGCAGCGCTGCTGCTGCTCAGCCTCGCTCGGGAGGCGGGCGCCCTGCTGCGCTCTCCCCACCTTCCGCGCTGCGCTCCCCTAGCGTGCATACCCCTCACCACCCCCGCCACTTCCTGGCTCAGCCTCCACACCGGTAACCTCCACTTCCAGCTGTCTTGCCGCTCTACTTGCACTCCAGCCCACTTCCTAAGTATTCTCCATTCCGGTTCCCTTGCTGGGCATCATCCATCCCAACAACCTTCGAAAATAACCTCTACTCGATCTTCCTTCCCAAGCATCTTTGAGCACCTTCCATTCCGTGCATCTTAGCGTGAACTTCTGTACTAAGAGCACGCTCTCTGCAGGCAGTCAGAGCAGTGCGCTCCCGATCAAAAAACCAAGCCTTTTCTGGGGGCCCTCTGCACTAGTCTGCCCAGGGAGCCCCGAGAAGAGGTCTGAATGGAGTAGACCTGGGCAAGATTGGCAACTTCCGCTTTGCCCCAAACAGAGCAGGAGTTGGGCCCTAGCTGACCAGAGGGAATGCCACTGAGTATGGTTGTCGTGGCGGGGGGCCGGGTAGGGGGAGATGCCAAGGTTGGGATCCAGCATGGCCAGGCAAGCAAGAACTGCAGGCTGTGAAGGTGACTCCTTCCAGCCTTATCCCCACCTGCCCTGGCATTTACGTCACTGACAACTTGCCTTCCACAATCCCATACTTGGGTTCTCCCCACTACCCCCTCCCTTTGTTTAACCATTTCAATCTGAGGATCCTCTTTTGGGCTCAGTTAAGATCCTGATTTGAGGAAGAGGCCACCCAAAAATGGCTCTTTAACAGTTAACTGTGGGAAAAAATTAGTGTTTGAATCTCAGTTTATATTGAGTGACTTCTAACAAGTCACATGACATCTTTGAGCCTATTACATCTTTTTATAAAATAGGTGTGCTAATATTTATTTCAGAGAGCATTAAGTGAATCAGGCTTAATGTAGGTGGAGCCAGTTTGTGGGGTGTTAAAACAAATGTTTGGCCTTTTCCCACACTTCCTCTCTGGCCCTTTGCCATAAGAAAGCCCCAAGGCCAGTACTGGCCCTGTTTCTTTCTTTTTTTTTTTTTAAAGATGACCGGTAAGGGGATATTAACCCTTGACTTGGTGTTGTCAGCACCACACTCACCCAGTGAGCTAACCGGCCATCCCTATATGGGATCCGAACCTGGGGCCTTGGTGTTATCAGCACCGCACTCTCCTGAGTGAGCCACGGGCCGGCCCGTGGCCCTGTTTCTTACTTATGAGCAGCTATCTAAATGCCCACCTTTAGGGATCTAGCTGCTTGCTAACAAGCCAAGCTTATGCTCACAACCTTTTGCTAAAATGGCATCTGGATTCCCAAGACTGACCTTCCAATTGTCCGGATCACATACTACTCAAACACAACTGAAATGTGAAATGAGGCTTTTGAGGCAGACAGGCCTAGCTTATCAGCTGTGTGATGCTGGGGAAAGTTTACTCCCTAATCCTCAGTTTCTTTGTCTGCAAAATGGGGAAGATAGTGGTGTCTATCTCATTGGATTAAGTGAGAATATACACAATCCATTTTGCAGTGCGTGGCAGATAAGAGTTCAATGCAGTCATCTCTTGGTATCCATGGGGGAGTGGTCCCAGGTCCCTCCCTCCACCGAAGACACCAAAATCCAGATGCTCAAGTGCCTTACATAAAAGTATAATCTTTGCATATAATCTACACACATCTTCCTGTGTACCTTTTTTTTTTTTTAAAGATGACCGGTAAGGGGATCTTAACCCTTGACTTGGTGTTGTCAGCACCACACTCACCCAGTGAGCTGACCGGCCATCCCTATATGGGATCCGAACCCGGGGCCTTGGTGTTATCAGCACCACACTCTCCCAAGTGAGCCACGGGCCGGCCCTTCCTGTGTACTTTAAATCATCTCTAGATTACTTACAATACCTAATGCAGTGCAAGTGCTATGTAAATAGTTGTTATACTGTATTGTTTTTCACTTGTATTACTTTTTATTTGTATTGTTTTTATCTTTTCAAACATTTTCAATTAAGTTTGTTGAACCCACAGATGTGGAACTCACGGATACAAAGGGCTGACTGAACTCGGTAGACATACCTAGACAGGCAAGGCTATCCCTCTTCTAACCTTTGAAAACACTGAGGCTCAGAAGAAAGGTTTCCTCTTCTGTAAAATGAGGAGTGGACGGTAGCCTAATAACTGTTTGAATTATGGATCACTTCCCACGTGCCAGGCACTGTGCAAAATGCTTTACACACGATATCTCACCAAATCTTCACAATAACCCTAGGAAGTAAGTACTATTATTACCCTCATTTTACAAATGAGGAAACTGAGGTAGGAAAAGATTAAGTACCTTGCCCAAGATCTCACAGCTAGTAATGGGGACTCCAGAACTTAACCCTGCACTTCACTGCAGCTATCTAAAGCCTTCCAACATTGGACCTCTATAATGCTCATTGACTTGCCCAGGTGGTGGCAGGACAGGGATAAAACCCTCAGCTGCCTCCACCCGCTCCTACCTCAGTGCTGTTTTCACTGCCCTTTACTACTTTTCTACAGAAAGCCTCAAGCAAGACTGGCTTTAATCTTCGCTCCACAGAGGACTTCTACTGTATGGTAATCCACTAATCCACCCTTACTTCCCTTGGGCTGCAGGTACAGGAAGGTGTTCCATACCTGTGCAATGACCACCTTCTGGGATTTCCAGAAGGAAGCTACCATGATCTGTGAGTTGCCGAGGAAGGAGTCCAAGAAACTCAGCTTCCAGGGAGCGTTTAAGCTGTGCATCCCCTAAGACTCAGGGGAACCTGGAGCTCCCCTGATGTCTGCTGGCTGCCATCCTGGCTCCCAGTGGCTCTGATTTGAACAGGGTTGCCTAGAGCTTGGGGTTAGTAGTACCCTTTGAGCCAGACATCCCTTTCTCCTTTCCTGTTCTTCTTCAGGGTTATAAACTATTCTGAGCACCAGCTATGCAGTTGTCTCCACTTTTTTCTCCTAATAGAGTTCAGGTGATCGGTGGAACGAGGTCCAGACTTCAGACTCCTAGAAAGTCAAGAGATATGCCAATGCGGTAGTGGGCTAGAGGTAGCTTTCTGATCTACGTACCACCCTTTATCCTTTGTAAATACATTTCCTACATTCTTATGATCACTTGGAAACCTCTGGCCATATTTAATTTACTGTGTATCAGTTTTTCCTAGAAAGTTAATAATGCTTATAAAGCACTACTCACCCTTAGTATTGAAAACATACAGTAGGATGAGAAGGTATGATTATAATGTAATAGAGTGTTTAACCAATCAGAACTTATACATCCTTAACTATTGATAGCTCTGCCAGCTCCTAACAAGTAACCTTGGGTAAGTTCCTTACAATTCCCTCAACTTAAGACATGGATGATGGTATTTCCTATTTCAGGTGGTTGTTCTGAAGATTAAGTGAGAAAGGAGACATAGAGCCCTTAGCTCACTGCTAGACACTTATTAAGAACTCAATAGAGTGTCACTGTCATTGTCCAGTCCTCTCTGGAACTCACCTTTAGAATCTGCTTATTGTTACTTTAGAAATCATAAAAATGTCATTAAGTTCACATATTTTTGACCCACAACTGTTGCTCAGCTCAGTTGCTATACTATTGAAAAAAAAAAATCGGCTCCTCTGACTTTTGGCAGTTTCCAAAAATCAAGTTACTACTCAAGGGACAGAGATTTGTCATCACAGAAGACATGCAGAAAAACAGGCACAAGCCCTTGAAGGAAATCCCAAAGAGGTGTTCCAACCATAGCTGGAGTGACAACCACCACAGCTGATCAAGGGAGACAGCAGCCACATGATGTGAGTGTTCTGATGCCTTTCAAATTAAAGTTAATCACATGCCTGCAGAGTTCATGGGGGGAAATCCACCAATCCTCCAGCTGGTCTTATCTGCTACAGCCAGGATTACAGCATCCCATTAACAAGCTGCTTCCTTTCAATGTGGCCAGAGCACCCAGAATTACTGAGGTGCCTCACCCTAGCACTTTTCCAGCCTCCGCCCAGGCATGTTTACTCTGAAACCTTCATCCTGTCAACCTCAACTCTCTACTCTGCAGGGCTGAGAGCCAGAATGATAGAAAGGCTTCCTAGGGAGACAGCCAAACTCATCTGTTTAGCCGTAACTGTGAAAGCTGAAAACTGATGTCTTTCTTGGGCAAGCTCTAGAGAAACCAAAGAGGAATACTGATGGTTTCAATGCAGAAGTGGGTCTAGACCAGGATGCTCTACTGCACATGTTTAGAAATCACTGGCAAGTGGAAAAGGAATCCCAAGAGTCAGGGTGGTTCACCCAACTGAGAGGAGGCTGCAAGTGGAGGAGGGGGTAGAACACAGGAGTTCCCTGAACCTAGTATTTTAGGCAAATGGAGGAATAACTCTGGGGTCCAGGAAAGGAGAAGGTGGCCTAATAATTCTTTATAGCTCTCTTGCCTGGCTGTGCTCATCTCACAGCCCCAACCATGACATTACAAGATAAATACAGGCAGAACCATGGAAAATACTGTATTTATGTACACAGGAAAGGCAGCTACAAGCCCCTCACAGAGGAAACTCTAACCCAAAGAAAAATCTTAGCAGCAAATTCCTATTTCCCTCAGCACTGTCAGTGCAACCTCGGCTGGAAGGTTGGGCTTCTTTTCTCTGGGCACTGATCATACCCCTCCCACAGTAGAATTCCAAATAAGGTGGAAAAAAGAACTGGGGTCCAGTGGGAGCTAAGTGCCCGGTCATTCCTAGAGAATAGGCAGTGACTCTATTATGAGGGTTAGGCTGGAAGCGATGTTGGGATTCTTCTCTGAGTCCCATGGCCTGCTATGTTGAGAGCTGGCAGCAGGGTGGGGACCCAGTAGAGGGAACTAGAAGAAAGTTAGTCATTGGTTCTTGAGTGTGCATGCACACATGTGTAACGGCACAGGTTGTGCATTTTCCTTGTGCTTGATGCCTCCATCTGCTGTCCTCTCCTTTCCCTGACAGCAGCCTAATACTTTGCACTTTACATCTCTTTCTGTGGCCACAGATCCAGAGACCAATGTTTTTTCAAACAAAATCGTGTGGTTCAGCAAAATGCAAAGGTAACAGCTGTCCCAGGGAGATAAGACAGATGACTAAAAGAGTCGTTTGCTCTCATCAGATATCCTTGATTATTTTCTTTTTAAAATAACAGGCTGGTGACAATTATGGTGGCTCGAGAGTGACACGGTTCCAATTCTGTTATTACTCTCAGGAGGTCCCCTTCCTGACCTCCCAGATACCAAGGCTTCAGCAGACAGAGGTCGTTTTGGCAGCTGTGATCCTGACTGCTACTGCCTTCTTGATGGGGTCTCATTATCTCTCCCACACCAGCAGAGACTTCACATTTCCAGGGTTCCTCTCAGACCTGGGCTGGATCTCATCCGGAGGGTCTCAGCAGCCCAAAGTGTTGGGGGCCCAAGTGCCAGCAGAGTATCCAAAGGGACCGATTCTAGACATTGGATTTAGGGGCTGAGTTGAGGGGGATCTCCTTGAGCTCCGTCCGCATGCACAGGTACTCCCCGATGACAGCCATGAGCGCAATGCACACAGCTTGGACCAGCCACCAGGTCAGCGCCGAGGGGAAACGGGAACTGTAGAACCAGCAACCCAGAAGATGAAAGAAATGGACAGTGACAGTGAAATCCAGACACTGCTTCCCTCGCCGGATGAAGTACAGCAAGCCCAGGGCACTGTGGGAGAGGACAGCAGCGAGTTGTCACTGGGTTGTCCTGGCCTTAGATTAGGTTATTTTAAGGGGGGGCGGGGTGAGGTGAGGACAATTAGAATGATAACACAGTGGTCAGAAGCGAGCAAGATAAGTGTGAAGCAAGGGTTTCAATATTAGATGCCTAGAGCAACCTGGCAGGTAATGTCCAGGAGTGAATCAGACTGAGTAGAAGAAAATAAAAGTACAAGCTTGATGATAAATGGTAACTGTCACTAGGAAATCCTAGGGATTGGTGGGGACTGTGGCACCCTGAAGCATACATATTCTAGCTAAAGTGGGGACAACAGCTACTTGCATCTAGGCAAATCTTGTCATGCTAGAAGGCTGGCCTGGAATCAAGTGATCTTTCCATTATTCAGGGGAATTCAGAAACCTGTATTTTTACATAAAATATCCTGATTTTCAGCTAAGTAAAACAATGTCGCATGGGCTGACATTTGTGTAAGCCAAACAGAACCTATCTGGGAGACAAATTTAGGTCAAAGTCAGCCCACCAGTTATCAACCTCCAGTGTAAGGTCAAGAATAGTAATCATGAGCAAGACATTGTTCTAAGTACTTATGAATTTATTTAATCCTTACAATTATGAGATAGGTAATTATTAGTCCCATTTCACTGATGAGGAAACTGGGGCTTAGATAGATTAACTTGTCCATAGTCACAAGACCAGTGGTAAAGCTGAGATTCAAAGCCAAGTGAGTCTGCCTGTAGAGCTTGAGACCTTGATCACTATGCTAAACTGCGTTTCACCAGACAATGGTCATGAGTGAACTTAGACATTATCCAGTCCAATCCATCATGTACAGATGAGAAGCCTGAGGCCCAGAGAGGAGGGAAGTAATTTGGTACACGAACCAAGAACAGAACCCAATTCTCCTGACTTTGAGTCTAATCCTTTCCTCACCTCACTCCACGTCAGGGCAGGAATCTGAGAGGGAAGCTGTCTCTCAGGCAGTATACACATAGTAACATAAGAGCTTTCCAGCTAAGCCAAAACAGCAATGGAAGGATCCCCATGATAAAGCTGGTCCCAGAATTGGCCTCTGCCATTCACTTTAGTACACCACTCCCAGGAAGAAGAGCCAGGCTATCTCACATCCAAATTTAAGAAGTTAGTTCCAGTGTAATTCCCCAAAAGCTGGATAGCAAAACTGGTGATACTCACCAGGTAAGGGCGTTGAGGATGAAGGACATCATGGAGAGCCGGCCTGGAGGGGTGGAAAAGCCCAGCATCTGAGGGGGGAATCACAGATGGAAATATGCTGGAGAAGTGACTTGGCAGAGCCCCAGGCTACAGGATCCCAGCAGGCCTCCTAAGGAACAAGCATTCTTCCCAGAGCACAGAAGACAATACCTCCCTTCATTTGTATGGTAGCCTATTTCCAACAAGCTGCTTTCACAGATATACATTATTGTATCTTATCTAATCCTAACAGCAGGTGGAAAGGGATTATTATTCTCAGTTTAAAAAGGAGGACATAAGAGCTCACAGAAGTTAAGTTGCCCAAAGTGATAAAGTAAGTAAACAGCAAGAGTAAGGTCTAAAACAGGGTTCAGCAAACAATGGCACCACAGGCCAGACACCTGCTTTTATAAATAAAGTTACTGAAACACAGCCATAACCATTCACTTACATATTTTGTGCTACAATTGCAGAGCTGAGTAGCTGTAACCCAAAATCTTTTTTTTTTTTTTAAAGATGACTGGTAAGGGTATCTTAACCCTTAACCCTTGACTTGGTGTTGTCAGCACCAGGCTCTCCCAAGTAAGCCAACCAGCTATCCCTATATAGGGATCCGAACCCATGGCCTTGGTGTTATCAGCACCACACTCTCCCAGGTGAGCCACGGGCAGGCCCCGTAACCTAAATCTTTACTTCCTTACCCTTTAGGAAAAATTTGCTGACCCCGGTCTAGAATTTAGGCTACATCTGGCTCTTCAACAAGGCCCAGGACTCTCACGTGCCTTCCCA